ATGAAAAAAATTAAAGTAGAAACTAATAAATCAAAAGACATCTGTATTCAAGGGCTAGAATAATTAATATTGTTAAAATGTCCCAACTACTCACAATGATCTACAGATTCAGTGCAATCCCTATCAAAATCTCAATGATTTTTCACAGGAACAGAAAAAAAAAATGCAAAAGTTCATATGGAACCACAAAAGACTCCGAATAGCTAAAGTAATTTTGAGCAAAAAGGACAAAGCTAAAGGCATGCCACTTCCTGATTTCAAAATATATCACAGAGCTACCATAATAAAAACAGTATGAAACTGGCATAAACACACACATATGGTCCAATGAAACAGAATAGAGGGCCCAGAAATAAATGAATACATAGATGGTCAACGGCCTGTCCAAGGGTGCTAAGGATATGCAATGAGGAAAGATAGTCTCTTCAATAAATTGTACTGGGAAAATTGGATATCCACAAACATAAAAACAAAATAACTACCATATGACCCAGAAATGCCGCTTCTGTGAATATACCCAAAGGTATTGAAATCTGTATCTCAAAGAGATACCTGCACTCTCATGTTCATTGCAGCATTGCAACATTATTCACAATAGCCAAAACATGGAAGGAACCTAAATATCTCTCAACTAATGAAAGGATAAAGATAATGTGGTAAATATGCACATATATAATGGAATATTATTCAGCCCTTAAAAAGAAAGAAATCCTGCCATTCGTGACAATATAGATAGAGCTGGAGGACATTATGCCTAGCAAAATAAACAAGACACAGAAAGAGAAATACTGTATGACCTCATATGAACTCTCTTATATGTGGAATCTAAAATACTCAATTTCATAGTAGTAGAGAGTAGGATGGGGGTTACCAGGGCCTGGAGGAAAGGGATAATGGGGAAGTGTAAGTCAAGGGTACAAAACTTCCATTATGCAAAATGAGTAAGTCCTAGAAATCTACTGTATGGCATAATGCCTATAGATAATACTATACTTTCTTTAAATTCACCAAATGGTCCTACTTAACATGGGTGCCTTTTTTTTCTTTTTTGTTTTCTTTTCTTTCTTTCTGTTTTTTTGTTTGTTTGTTTGTTTGTTTGTTTTTGAGACAGGGTCTCACTCTGTCGCCCAGGCTGGAGTGCAGTGGCACAATCTTGGCTCACTGCAACCTCCGCCTTCCTGGTTCAAGTGATTCTCCTGCCTCAACCTTCCTGAGTAGCTGGGATTACAGGCACCCACCACCATACCCGGCTAATTTTTGTATTTTTAGTAGATACGGGGTTTCACCATGTTGGCCAGACTGGTCTCGAACTCCCAAGCTCAGGTGATCCACCCACCTCAGCCTACCAAAGTGCTGAGATTAAGGCGTGAGCCGCCATGCCCGGCCTCATTAGTGCTTTAACTGTATATTCAAAATAAAACATAACTCTAAACAAATACTGAACTCAAGTTAACATATATATTCTGAAGTACTGTTTTTAGGAGAAAGTTTCTGGCTGTCTAGAAATTATTTTGAAATACATCCTAAAAATAAGAAGGTTTTATTGATAAATAAGTGGAGGAATATGTTACGAAGCAGGCATAGTAAAACGTTAAAGGTAGAATCTAGATAGTGGGCATATGAGTGTTGACTGTAAAATGAGTGTTCACTGTAAAATTCTTTTAATTTTTCTGTTTGTTTAAAGTGTTTCATAATAAAATATTGGGGGAAATTGTATGTCATGTTTGTTTCACATAGGAAGACTTTCTATTTTCATACTAAATATTTTTTATGGCTTTATGTCAAATTCTGCCTTACTGCTTTAACTTGAAATATGCCTAAGTATATGTGTGTGTGTATATATATATATCAGTGTTATATAGTTGATGCATTATATAGTTAATAGTTAGATAGTTCATGTATGAATCCAGCCAGATAGAATATCTTTGAAAAGATCTATCTGACTGGGATGTACATATTAGAGATTGACACACTTGACTAATTAAGCTAATCTTAGGAAATCAATAAGAGGCCATCTAATTAAATTACAAATCTTACCTTTGGTTATGCATATCTAGGTGTAAGATGTGACTGAGAAAAGAATCCTAAAATAAATCTCAAAGCATCAGGGCAGAAAACTTCCAGTTAACATAGCAGACTATTTAATATACAAAAAAAAATTAGTTCAAGCCAAACCCTTGATATTTGGAAAATCCATGCCAAAATTTCACACTTGATTGTTATTTTTTAACATCATAAAAAAGAAAATGGGAGAAAGTAATTCTTATGTTTGTTCCTGTTAAAGTAGGACAAACTTTTGAGTGACTTTGGAGGGGACAGTAATCCCAACACTTATCATGGAATTGACCATGTTGGGAGAGAATCTTGTTTCTCTTCACTCTTGGGTAATGTCAGGTTTAATAAATTTCCTTAATTTAAAGAGACCCACAGGTCCAAAACCTGTGACCAAAATAAATCAGGTAATAGGAAATTATAAATTGGAATTTGAAAAGTTAAAATGCAATCCATAAAATTAATTCCATACTTCTTCAAGGTGGTTCTCTTTGACATCAAGTTCACTATAATATTAGTAAGTCCAAGGAAGCCTGCTAGAAAAAAATTATACAGTGGTAACATTTTTATTCTCTTGGCATAGCGATTTTCAAGCACTACCAAAGTGTTAATTATTTTTTCTGTTCCTGTAATAAGGAACTAGGTTAAAAAAAAAAAAAAAAGAGTCCTATGTCCTTCAAAAGGTATTGAATTTCAAAATGAGTGATTTCTTTCTAGATCTGTTTTTGTTTGAATATTAACTTCAACGGCAGTTTGTTTCTTCCTTTGTAAACTTCAACTTCTTACTATTTGAAGATCTTAAAATCTCAAAGTATTTTTACAAGAAAAGACCACCCTTGTTCCAAGATTAATGCCAGTTACCCAAAGTGCTAATGTTATATGTGGCATACCTAGATAAGAAATAAAAGCTTGGCTAGGGCAGGATTCTGTAAAAAGTACTCCTTTTCTGTGTCTGCACAAGATGCTGAAATAGCTAGTTGGAACATACGAAATCTAAATGTCCCTCTATAACAAAACCTGGAGACATTCTCTATATAAATGACTTTTTAAACGGATTCACTGGAAATGCCTGATACAGACCACATTGTCAGAGCTATGTAGAATTACCAAATAGTTCTGGCTGCACAAGAATTCTGAAATATATATACAGATGTCTTCAACTTCTGATGGGGTTACATCACAATAAGCCTATTGGGAAAATATTGTAAGCCAAAAATGCAATTAATACACCTAACCTACCAAACATCATAGCTTAGCCTAGCCTAACTTAAATGTGCTCAGAACACTTACGTTAGTCTACAGTTTGGCAAAATCATCTACTACAAAGCCTGGTTTCTAATAAATTATTGAATATCTCATAATTTATTGAACACCATACTAAAAGTGAAAAACAGAATAGTTGTATGAGTATTCAAAGTATGGTTTCTACTGAATGGATACTGCTTTTATGCCATCATAAAATCAAACCATAATAGATTAAGGACTCTCTGGCTAGCTAAGTGAACGTTATACATTCTTTACTAACCTTTATCATATTCTTTTCTCGTCCTCTTCCTATCTGGTCTGTAATGACCCCAGCCTCTTCATTTGCAATTGTTCAAGTACTGAATTTTTATCAAGTACATTTCTGAGCATACTTGATTTTCTTCAATACCAAATTTCTAGTTCATTTGCCCATTACAATCAACAGTAATTTCCCTATTAAGATGGATTTCAGTTCTCCTCTGTCTCTGCCATGGTTTACATATTCAATAATATAATAATATGTGGGTGAAAAATAGAAGAGATATTCATCTGTTCTGTTTTCCATTCATAAAAACAATTGGATCTAAACTATAGAAGGTTCTCCCATCTGCATAAATACATTTGATCTCTAAAATATTCCCACAAATCAATAGCGTGGTAGTTTAAAAACAGCCTCAAAGTTTTTGCTGCTTCTCTCACTGAGAGGTGGATTCAAATGTCTCTTCCCTTGAACCTGGTTTGGCCTTAGTGACTTGCCTGACAAATATAATGTGGCAACTATAAGATGAGATAGGGCTTCTGAGTTATAGGAAACCTGGCAGCTACCACTTGGGCTGCTATTGCTCTGGGGGAAACCAGCTCTCATGTAAAAATCCGTCTACCTTGAGACGTCCATGCTGTGAGGAAGCCCAAGCTAGTCACATTGAGAGGCTGAATGATAAAAGATACCCAGTCACCCCCAACTGTTCCAATATTACCAGCTGAGGCTCAGACACGTGAGGTAAGGAGCTACCTTGGGCATTCCAAAAGGACACAATGTGGAAAGGAACAGAGGAACCCGGCCAACTGTCAGAATCAAAGTTTCAGACATTTGACCTCAATTGAATCTTTCCAGGTATCTCCAGCCATTCAAGTCATACCAGCTGAGGGCCCAGTCATCATGGAACATAAATGAGTCATCTCTGTTGGGCTTTGCACAAAATTCTGACCCGTAAAACTATAAGCCTAATAAAAATGGTGGTTATTTAAACCACCAAATTTTGGTAACAGCTAGTAAACACCCTCCGTGGGATTGTTTCATCATTTCACAGTGTTTATTAAGAAGTTTACGTTAGCACACATGGTGTTTGCCAGTGCTGTCTATAGAAAGAAAATCTTGATTATATTATATATATAAGGAAAGTTATTATAATTTAATAGTACTATATTCTCCCAAGAATAGTGGTCTTTCAGCGATATAGAAAAAAAGCAAAATGTGTATCTTCTGTTTTCACAGGTATCTGAGATGTTATTATTGGGCAGTTCGAACTTTAATTACCATTGGTGGCCTTCCAGAACCACAAACTTTATTTGAAATTGTTTTTCAACTCTTGAATTTTTTTTCTGGGGTTTTTGTGTTCAGCAGTTTAATTGGTCAGGTAAGTTGAGTATGAATCACTGGATACACAGTGCTGTCATTTTTGAAAGACTAAGAAGTCTTTATAAACTTTATGGAGGAAAAATTAAAATATGTCTGGTTCTTCTTTTTTTTTTTGAACTAACTTTCTTCTATTTTAATGAGTTGAAGGAGGATGTAATTAGATCAACAGTGCTTTTCCATTTTTAAGCCATTAAATCTATCAAAAGACTGTCAGCAAAGAGCATTGGTTTGAACTCTCAGAGAAAGTTGTTTCTTAGTTAACTTTTTACTTGGACCCCAATGAAAACCATTAAAATCTCTTTTATTTACTTAAATTTCAACTATTTTTATAAAATCACTGGGTTATAATTGACTTCAGACGTCATTTAAACCAGAGACTACAAAATGCCATATAAAATAATAAGTTATTGTTTCACAAATGTTTACTATAGCATCTCCTTGTACTTATTCTCAAAAAAGTCAGTCTAGTAAGAAATTAAATACATAAATTATATTGAAGATAGTTGGCACTGACAAAGGATAGAGCCCACATTTTTTTTTTCTTTTTCTTTTTCTTTTTTTTTTTTTGAGACAGGGTCTTGCTCTGCACCCAAGCTGGGGAGTAGTGGCACAAACATGGCTCACTGCAGCCTCAGCCTCCTGGGCTCAAGGGATCTACCCACCCGAGCCTCCCAAGTAGCTGCAACTACAGTTGCACCCCACCACACCCAGCTAATTTTTTTGTAGGACAGGAATCTTTCCAGGTATCTCCAGCCATTCAAGTCATACCAGCTGAGGGCCCAGTCATCATGGAACATAAATGAGTCATCTCTGTTGGGCTTTGCACAAAATTCTGACCCGTAAAACTATAAGCCTAATAAAAATGGTGGTTATTTAAACCACCAAATTTTGGTAACAGCTAGTAAACATCCTCCGTGGGATTGTTTCATCATTTCACAGTGTTTATTAAGAAGTTTACGTTAGCACACATGGTGTTTGCCAGTGCTGTCTATAGAAAGAAAATCTTGATTATATTATATATATAAGGAAAGTTATTATAATTTAATAGTACTATATTCTCCCAAGAATAGTGGTCTTTCAGCGATATAGAAAAAAAGCAAAATGTGTATCTTCTGTTTTCACAGGTATCTGAGATGTTATTATTGGGCAGTTCGAACTTTAATTACCATTGGTGGCCTTCCAGAACCACAAACTTTATTTGAAATTGTTTTTCAACTCTTGAATTTTTTTTCTGGGGTTTTTGTGTTCAGCAGTTTAATTGGTCAGGTAAGTTGAGTATGAATCACTGGATACACAGTGCTGTCATTTTTGAAAGACTAAGAAGTCTTTATAAACTTTATGGAGGAAAAATTAAAATCTGTCTGGTTCTTCTTTTTTTTTGAACTAACTTTCTTCTATTTTAATGAGTTGAAGGAGGATGTAATTAGATCAACAGTGCTTTTCCATTTTTAAGCCATTAAATCTATCAAAAGACTGTTAGCAAAAAGCATTGGTTTGAACTCTCAGAGAAAGTTGTTTCTAAGTTAACTTTTTACTTGGACCCCAATGAAAACCATTCAAATCTCTTTTATTTACTTAAATTTCAACTATTTTTATAAAATCACTGGGTTATAATTGACTTCAGACGTCATTTAAACCAGAGACTACAAAATGCCATATAAAATAATAAGTTATTGTTTCACAAATGTTTACTATAGCATCTCCTTGTACTTATTCTCAAAAAAGTCAGTCTAGTAAGAAATTAAATACATAAATTATATTGAAGATAGTTGGCACTGACAAAGGATAGAGCCCACATTTTTTTTTTCTTTTTCTTTTTCTTTTTTTTTTTTTGAGACAGGGTCTTGCTCTGCACCCAAGCTGGGGAGTAGTGGCACAAACATGGCTCACTGCAGCCTCAGCCTCCTGGGCTCAAGGGATCTACCCACCCGAGCCTCCCAAGTAGCTACAACTACAGTTGCACCCCACCACACCCAGCTAATTTTTTTGTAGGACAGGTGGATAGTGGCCTGAATGTAAGAGCCCATGTAAGAACCTGATGCAGAAGGCAGTTGGGATATGGGTTCCAGATAGTTAGTTTACATATATGGAAGACACACTCTCAGGAGATTTGGCCACCATCTCTAGTAATTACCTAACCCTGGGAGAAACAAGCAAGGCCTTGGCCAGCAAGTTCCCTGATACTAACATATCAAAACATAGAAAATAAAACAGGTTAATACAGATATACAGGGATATGGCAGCTCCAGCCTTAACATGTTAATGGAATACAGAGAGGGGTAGTAAAGGAAACTCTATGTAGAAAATATTTAGGTTTAGGAAGATGAACACTAAGAGTTAAAAATTGTAAGTATAAAATATCATTATCTTCATGACTGGGGAGATTATATTAACAATGTTTAAAATAGGAAGCTGGTTTGAGAGATTCTAAATTCAAATCCATTTGAATATAAATCGCAAAAATCACATTTTAAAAAAATTTCTCATAAAATCAATGTGAAGGTGTCATATCACAGTCAATATTTTCTCTATTTTACAGATGAGAAAACTACAGTTTAAAGAGATTAAGAAGCATCCCTGATTCATACATGTAGTTCATATGGTCATATGGTAGAACCATATATAACAACACTGATAAAAACAGTAAAATTTAACACGTATTGAGCACTTACTGTGTGCAAGGCGATTTTCACATCAAAACTAAAATACTATTTCTAGCACCAGTTCCATTATCTTGCCACTCAAAGTGTAATCTTTGGACAAGCAGCAGCAGCAGCACTTGAGAAATTCAGAGTTCAGGCCCCACCTGAGACTAATGAGTCAGAACTTGCATTTTAACAAAATCGTTAAGTGATTCATATACACACGAATGTTTGAGAAGCACCACACCACATCTGCTTTTAAATTGGATTCGAGGTTCCAATAGGAACAAGAAGGAATACCAAGTCACTAAAAATGTGGTCACAGAGCACAAGAGAAAGATTGAGGCTAGAGATACGATGTGTGCCTCGAACTGTCATAGTGAATAAAAGATGCTGAGCAAGGGAACAGATAGAAATAAAAGTTTAAAAGCCTGGGACAAAAAAACCAAAACCAAAAACAAAACCCTCCACTCACTCAAAATTCCCACATGGAGACTATACCCTGGAGCTAACCATCACTTTTTTTTTTTCTTTAAGAGAGAGAGTCTGGCTCTGTTGCCCAGGCTAAGGTGTAGTGGCTTAATCATAGCTCACTGTAGCCTCAAAATCCTGGGCTCGAGCAATCCTCTCACCTCAGCCTCCCAGGTGTCTGGTACTACAGGTGCATGGCATCATGCCTGGCTAATTCTTTTCTTCATTTATTTTTTTGTAGAAACAGAGTCTCACTATGTTGCCCAGGCTGGTCTTGATCTCCTGGCCTCAAGTAATTCCCCCACCTCATCTCCCAAAATGCTGACATTACAGACATGAGCCACTGCACCCAGCCAATCATCACATTTTAACTACAATATTCTATTTTCTGACACAACTCACAGAAACGGACATTTTTCTTCCTCTCATGCTCTCACATACTTCCCTAGCCTGGAATCCATCATAGAATATACATCCTCCTCAACTCCTACAACAACAAAACCCAACATTGCTGAAGGATATCACACAACCCATTCAAATTACTGTCACTACAAATTCTTGGAGCCTCAACAGCAATCAATAATGCTTTTAATAGTCCTTGCTTCCCAACTTAACACTCTATTAAATCTCCAAGCCCTCTCCTAACATACCAAGTCCCCCAGCCTTTGGTGACTAGGTAATGTAAGTTATCAGTCAAGAACGGCATGGAAAAGTGAGATCTAGGAATTGGGATTGTTGAGGAATATTTGGAAGAGCCCCTGAGGAGTAAGAGACTGAAAAAGATATATACAGTTGGACTGGCTGCATAGCTCCTCAACAGATAGTTTTAATTTGTAGAAGTTTAATGACTCTAAAAATGGAAACTGAGGAGGGCATCACAATTAAAAAGAAGCATTTGAGCTAGACTTCCAAGAATGAGTCGTTTTTCCATAAGCAGAAAAGGCTCAACAGCTACTAAAATGAACGAGCAAAGTCTTAGGAGTGTGAAAGTGAGGCCCTGGTTTTCCTGCCTATTATAAACCCACAGTCAAAACATATTTACAGCCACTCACCTCCCTCTATGTGAGAAGAAGAGTTGAGCTATATATCTTTTTTGTGCTGAGACCTTAAAGATCAGCTTTTAACCTAGAGTGGGTTTTTATGGGTGAGTTATAAACATCCAAGAACTAAAACCTGACAGTTTCTTAAGAATTGTCACAGCAGTAGATGATGCTACAGTAATTTCAGCACATTTCAACTTCTGCTGAATACCATGCCTTAAGCATGATGAGATTTGATTTTATCTGTCTAAACAACACAAAGGGAAGTACAGAGGTTGCAATTTCATGATGAATTGAGTCTATATAGCCAGCTACACTGGATAATCTATGAAGGATGCATTCAAAGTAAGACTCACCAAAATGGACTAGCCATTCTGCCAGACAATTGCTCAACTTTTATTGCACATTCCTTGCATAAGCACAGCTGTATAATTTTTTCAATGTACACTAACATTTCTACAGTGAAATACAAGTTTGCAGAGAAGATTATATGCAGTCCTATGCATTACATGGCTGAATTCTCACTTGGTTTGTCCTACAGGTCTTATTGTTGTCCTTATTGGATCAGAGAGAGAATATAATTTGCCCAATATTTTATGGAAGTGGGTGATATTAGGACCCAATATCAGTGTATTTAAAGTCATGTAATCCACTGCTGGAAAGTTAAGTCTGGGCAAGAATAAATAAAAATAAATGAATGAATAAAATCAAGTAATCAGGGCATTAGAAGGGAGTATATCATGTGGAAAACATGTAATGTGACTTTTATGAACTCATTTCCTCTGCTGGGTGTGGAGTAACCATATTTGTGGTTTTAGATGAGAGATGTGATTGGGGCAGCTACAGCCAATCAGAACTACTTCCGCGCCTGCATGGATGATACCATTGCCTACATGAACAATTACTCCATTCCTAAACTTGTGCAAAAGCGAGTGCGGACTTGGTATGAATATACATGGGACTCTCAGCGAATGCTAGGTAAGCATGGCAGATTACTAATTAAATTCCTGTAAACCTTGTCATATGATGAAAATTCTGTAAGGTAGCAGAGACTAATTGGATTTGAACAAAAGGTTGAAAAACAACTAAATGATCCTTAAAGCATTCGTTTAATACTACAGGGTTTTGTTTTGGTTTTTTTGTTTTGTTTTGTTTTTACTTAAATATAAAGCCATATCTTACTGATTTTGAAAACCTTGGAAGAGAAAAGGCTAAATTTTAATCAGCATCTTCTGGATGCTGGCTATTACACACATTGTCTCATATAGTCACACATACAAAAAAGGAAGTGGGAAAATTAGGCATTGTCTATCCCTTTTAAGGGAAGAGAATGGAGGCTCCTAACTGAGAAATTTGGCCAAAGACACAGAGCCAGCACATGGTCTAATTAGAACTCAGACCTGCATCTTCCAAACCCTTGCTCTTACTGCAATATTACTCTCTTACCCAGAACACAGTGCAAGTGGAGGTTAACAATGCCAACCCTCACTCCACAGTCAGAAATCCACATATAACTTTTGAGGCCAGGTGTGGTGGCTCACTCCTATAATCTCAGCATTTTGGGAGGCCAAGACAGGGAGATCACTTGAGATCAGGAGTTCAAGACCAGGCTGGCCAATATGGTAAAACTCTGTCTCTACTGAGAATACAAAAATTAGCAGAGTGTGGTGATGCACCACTACCCTCCAGCCTAGGCAACAGAGCCAGACTCTGCCTCAAAATAAAAGAAAGAAATCCACATATAACTTTTGACTCCCTCAAAACTGAACTACTAATAGCCTACTGTTAACTAGAAGACTTACTGATAATATACACAGTCGATTAACACACATTTTGTATGTTATGTGTATTACATACCATATTCTTACAATAAACTAGAGAAAACAAAATGTTATTAGGAAAATTATAAAGAAAAGAACTCTACTTACTAGTCATTTAGTGACAGTAGATCATCATAAAGG